TGTTTAAACTATGAGTGCTAAAAGTAAGTCAGACATAAAAATGAGACTTTTTTCTGTATTTTAAACACAAAAAAGTTATAGTAAGACATGAATCATCACCTAAGAAAATTTTATAGAAACCACTGTGTTGCAAATCTACAAATGAAAAATTACACAACTGCATAAATTATTATGTGAAGCAATAAGTCTCTGAATAACTAAACATTTAAAGTAAAATAATTAAAGAAAATAATGAAAGCCATCTATGACCTTTAAATCCATTAAGCATTTCTGCAAACAGAATGATATTTGGGTTTATTACATTTGTTGAGATCTGAATGTTAACAGAAAATAGTGTGCTTCATAATAAATACAGTATAAATTCTAAACGAAAAAGTCCCATCATACAGAACTACTACCACTCCAAAGTGTGTCTTATTTTTAATTAATGAAATTATATTTATAAAATTCCTATTTTTCAAATCTTCCTTTCTCATCCTGCAACTTCCAGAAAGTTTCCCCAAAGGCAAACTCTGTGCCTTAAGGGTTGAGCCCAGAACTGAAGAGGCTGAGGTCTTAATTCTGGATCTCACATTGTAACAGTGACCACAAGGCACTGAGCTGAAGAAATGTGGTACTCTGATGCAAATATAAAAATGACTGAAGAGCTTCAATTCTGTAAGTACACTGAAGAAATTCAAAACACTGAAGAAAATTTAATAACAGTGATGAAGCCACACATTGGCAAGTACCAAAGAAGAGAACAGTGAAGGATGTCTATATTAGGTGTGGAAAATATGCCGGCATGATTCAGCTTCTGCTGCTGGAGCCTGAACCCTCTTGTGAGAGGTACCTGGTATTTCAAGGTGACAGAAATTCCACAAACACACCCCATGGCAAATAAACGGGGTCAGGGCACGGCTTGTAAGTGTGGCTTTGGTGCTGTCACTGAACTTAGCAAAACAAACACTGACTGGTTTTGCAATAGTCGCTTCTTAGTATGAAAGCACTTGTGTGTGTGTTAGGGGAGGAAAGTTATGATGAAAAACAAAACATAAACAAAATACTCTGGTAAAAATATATCTGGAAAAGGCAGTAAGCACTGCTGGTGTCCTGCTAGAGGATGGATCTTTTGGAAAAACCTGAAGCTCACTTTTCATGCAGGACTCAGCTGACGGCACAGCTGGCACTAACTGTAACAAGTACCTAGTGTTCTATCACTGACTAACACAATCAATATTTTTCTTCAAACCCACAAGCTTTTCCCAGAGATCTAAGAATTGTTGGCTTAGTCCGCATACTGCCAATTTAGGTGAGTCACCAGGCAATTCACCTTGTGTGCAGCAGGTTCCTCATCTCAGGGCACAGTTTCAGATAATCATCTTTAGAGGTCAGAAACGACTCAAGTTCAAAACCGCAAAACCCTGCTGCATATAACCAGCCCCAAACTGGGAACCATTGCTACTTGAGTTATTTCAAATGTATTTGTGTTCTTGGAGGCCTGAGGCACAGCTCAAAGTTACATTCCCCGAAGAGAAGAAATCCTGTATTTCCAATTAGAATAAACCTACATACTCTGACAACCAAATGAACAAAGAAAAAGCCTGTCCTCAACCTATGGGACCAAGAAGCCCAGGTTGCATCCTGACCGTGAGAACATTCCATCTCCACCTGTGGGACCTGTTGGCAGAGGCACTTGGCTATAAAGTCACTCTTGATTTGCCATAATCCTACTAAAGAAGTCTACAGTAGTATAAATGTTTATTATTCCATTCAGTCCCAATGAAATGCATCTCTTATATAGTCCTGCCTGTCCTTTATTCTTATATGATCACAACACTACATTTAAACCTGATCCAGCACTGTAAATGGGAACCACTGTCACTTGTGTGGCTGAGCACTGTCCCACCCAGCACTGTCCAATGAAACCAAAAGAGACATATAAACAAACACAATCAGATAAATGATACTACAGAATGAAAGCCTAAAGATCTTATGTAACAACCATAAATTACTGCAAATTGCAGCACATCAAAAGCATACTGAATGCTTTTTATAGTCGACTGATAAGGAAGTTTCATCCACCCAGCAGGCAGGCAGGTGTCTGCAACAAAGATAAGAGATTTTTAGAAAATGAAACAGTGAACAGTGGCTAACCAAACATGCGCTCACACATTCCCTCCAAAGGAGAACGTCAAGATGTGTGCCAAGCTGAGACCCAACCCAGTGTCAGGAAACCTCTTGTCCTATTCTTTCTGGCATCAAGGCCTTACTCAAAGCAAATTTTTGTGTTAAAGTCACACATGCAAGATTAGGCAGGGCTGTCGAAATAATCTGATGTATGAAAAGTTAAGCAAGGAAGGATGATGCAAAAATAAATGTCTTAACAGCAGAAATCTTCTGAAACATGCCCTCAACTCTACAGCCCTCTATAAAGATGCATCAGGCCGTGAGTCTGACAGAGAAAGATAAATGCTAATTACTTATAAGAGACATCCTGATATAATCATTCCCAAGGCCTCTTCTTTTTAGGGTCCTAACTATAATTTTGACATTTTATGAGTTGATAGGGTTCTAAAAATTAATAGCTGCTCTTTGGTACCATTATATCTACTTTCCTAAAAATTAGAGCAAGTTGTATCTTTTTGGTGGGGAGAAAACCCACATGGAAGAACAAGACTACCTCTAGGGAGGGAAGAGAGAAAAAGGACAAGAGAACAGAAGGTGCTCAGCTGGATTTGTCTAAAAAACACAGAATTTGAAGCAAGCATGTTAAATACTACCATATATTTAGTCTGAGTTGGTAGGGACATAGAGATCTGTTACCTTTACTTTTTCTTTTTCTGCATGTTTGAAGTACTTTATAATAAAATAAAGGTAAATTTTAAGTGAAAAAGGGATATAAACAGCAACAAACAAATTCTGGTTGAGACTGAAGCAATGCTGAGTGACAAAGTTCAATCATGCTATTCTGATTACGAGCAATTGCCAAGCAACACAATGAATACACACAAGCCATTGGGGAACACTCAAATCCAAGATGTACACTGAAGTTAGAGCCCATTTTATAGTTTTACACTTTATCATGACCAAGTTCTTTGATACCTATCTTGCTAACAAAAGACACATCAAAATAGTTATTCTTCATCAAATAAAAATACAATTATATATTTGAGGCTGTACTGAAAGACATGCACTATTACTGAATTACATGTGTCTTTGTTCATCTATGAAAGCCAAACTGTGGAAGGCATAAATATGGCAGCCTGATTTTTAGTGCTGTGAAGCTAAGTTCGATCAGAGTTTAATGGACACAGAAGTCCACATTTCTGCTGAATGTTCAAAAGCTAACAGAAAGACTTGGGCCTGTGCTAACAAACAGCTGCTGCCACAGAAAGAAAACCCAAAATATACACAGCTTTCTTTTCTCAGATCCTCTACCAAATGGTCATACCAAGAACTGCATGAATCAAACGATAGTCATTTAGAGTCAATATGGCCTCTGGAGCTTGTCACCAGATTTTTTAAGTGTGTATGTGTGTGTGTGTGTGTGTGTGTGTGTGTATTTATCAAATCATTAGATTAGCATGTAGGCTGCCAATACACCACTTTTGTGCAAAGGTGCTACCAGCTAACCACATCCAAAAAAATCACAAATATACAGAAACTGCAAAGTTAGTACAGGGACCAAGTCTGACTCATACATGTTTTGCAGGATTGACACGACATTTCTTTAAATCTTGAATGCAGCAAGACTCTCAAAGTCTAGATTTCTGTATCAGAAGACCTGTCAACATTGAGCCCTTACACTTACTTGATTACAGCAAAGTAGTAGCTCTTCAATGTGTGGAAGGCCTGTCCACCACAACCACCACTAGTCCTTATCACCAACACACAATTATTACATATTCACACCACTTACCCTGTCACTGTAGGCAGTGTCCTTTGTGGCACAGCACTAAGAGCACCACGCCTGGGAGGCACTAAAAATAAATACATTCCCCTTAGGATCAGATTCAGCATGGAACAAGACTGGAAGAAAAGGCTTTGTTTCTAGAGTTCTGAATTTCCTCATAGATTAGAAGAGGTACAGTATGAAACAGAAATCCTTCGTCACTATTCACACACACACACACAAACACACATACACACACTTCCAAGTCCAACATACATGGCTCCTTTTCCTACACTGGTGAGATCCCATAATACATGACATTTCTGACTCTAAATGATGCTGACTGTAGCCTAAGAAGAAACTGCCTCTGCTTCAATCTTGTCTAAGGACTCCTGGAAGTAAACTGGCCTGGGTTTTGATGCAATGTTGCCACTACCCGAGCTAGCCATAGGAATTTCTTTCAACTTGTTAATGCATTAGATAACTATAGATGTTATGCCCTATTTCTGTCTGTGACATATTATAAACCAGAAGAAAAATAAATTATGACTAAAAAAAAAGTTTGATGCAGAAAGAAGAAATTCATCCACACAAAAAAGTCTCAGATACACACATGTGCACACACACACATATACACAAAAGACAGAGATGGAATACTCATCAATTAATATCAAGAAAACATGAAGATATTTATAGCAAGTAAAATGTCCACAAAAGATGGTAATAAGCTCCCTATTATGTGCAATTTCCATGCACGTGCAAACATGTAACATATGTATATACATACATACAAATGAATATGCTTGCATATACAGCCGAAGTATGATAAAGCTTGAGATATATTATTATTGCGTACACACATTAGTTAAAGAATATACTGAGTAGTAAGTACCAGAGTACACAGTACAACAGTCCCAAGGAATTTAATTTTATCAAAACCTAATTTGCTTGGTGTCAAAGTTCATGTTCTTATTAGAGTCTACAGAGTTTTGATAAGCACTTCACAATCTGAAAGGAAGTCTTTCCTATTATTATTGTAGGATTATTGGGTGAAAAAAGAAGCCACATCCAGACACAATTTCCACAACTTGGTCTTTTCCAGTTATAAAAGAAAGGAAACACTCACTGCAGAGAGCTGGTTCCACGTGGATCGCAGAGGCTTGTGGTGAATCACAATTTTTTCCTCTGACTTCTGTTCTTTGAACTCGGACTCTTCATCAGAGTCAATGTCAAGGGCCTTTTCTTTGTAGTTTTGATATAGGACTGCATTTTCTGCAAGAAAATTCAAAAGAGCCTGACATATCACTAATTGCCTACCATCACTACACTACTTCTAAACAAACTTCCGTATTTACACATTCTATGGTCCCTGGCATAATTAACAACACAAAAAGAGACTCTGTTATTCAAGAATAATACATGCCATATCAACTGAAGCAAAGTTTTTATGTCTGTGTCCACTACCCTCAAGGAATAGTCGGACATCTTAAATCACTGTTATCTAGGTTAAACTGAGTTCATACGCTGCATTTCCTTCAAGGTCCGTCACCATTCATTTATCTATTTAGCAAACATTCATTGTACATCTACAATGTGCCAGGGTCTGATAAAAAACAGAAAACAAAGGCATCTCTCATGTCTTCATGTTCTAGCAATTACTGAGACAGTCAAATTCATTCATGCATTTATTCATTCAACGGACATCTAGAAAATGCCTACTAAAAAATGCCAGCAGCTGCAAGGTACTGGAACTATAAAAGAGGAGTAAAAACAATTTTTAAAAACCCAATCTCTTCCTGGAGCTGACCTTAAAGTTAGAGAAAACTTCAATAAACTACTTTCATACTATTTTGGAAGTGGATATGTATCATAAAGAACAATAGAACATAGAAGTGGGGAGGGAATGCTGGGAGGAGGAGATGTGGATCTTAGGAAGAGTTTAAAAGGCTTAAGAAGCCCTCACAGAAGTAACATTTACACCAACACTTTATGTGGTGAGAAAGCAATTAGGAAAAAAAGCACTTCATCAGAGGAGGCAGCAAGTACAAAGGCCCTGAGGCAGGACTCTGCTTGATATCACTATATGTAAAGGGAACAACAAAGAGGTCAGGGCGGTCAAGTACTATGAGGGAGGGATCAAAGTACTTAAGATGGGAGGGCAAGTAGAGGGCAGATCATGCACAGCCTTGCCTCAGTGCCATTGAAAGGACTTTGATTTTTACTCCAAGCGCAATGACACATTACTGAAGGGTTGCGGGCACACTGATTTTACACAAATACATACCTATAGATAAAATAATCTACCCCAGCAGGGTATAATCTAATCCAGGTGTCAGAGACTTCAGTGAGGAAAATCTAAGATCAGAAAGGAGAGGAGCTAGAGCTAAAAGAGCATACGTACAACCTCTGAAACCAGAAGAAATGCCATACGTCAGAAGAACTATGGCAGGTCAATGTAACCAGAGTTTGGGCAGGTTTGCCTAGCGGTCAAAAAGTGCAAGATGGGCTTAAAAAGACAGGCTAACAGTCTTCATTATGTAGAGCCTTCAGGGCATTTAAAAGCTAGAATTTTCTCTGAACTCAAAAGAACTGAGTTTCTTTCGCCCTGGAATTGTATTTCATTCTGAATACAGTGGGAATCAACTGGAAGGAAACACTGCCCACCTAGGAGGCTCATTTAGGATGCTACTAGGGCAGCCAATGCAGGCTGATAGAGATCTGGGCTATGCAAACTAGCAAGAATTGACTGGTGACAGACTAGATAGGGAGCAGAGAAAGGTGTCAGGATATTTCCTAGGTTTTCAAGTCTCACAAATGGACAGTGAAAGATAGGACATCAGATAGAGAAGGTAATGAGTTCGATGGAGATATACACTTCCCATTTTCTAAAGCAAGCAGACACCCTCCTCCTCTCATCAAGTCTAAGTGGTTCTGTATGCAAGCAGTCTAGTACGACACAGAAACCTATGGAAAGCTTTCCTCATCTCTGTCCTGCATACAAGAAACAGGTATGTACTCTGAGCTTGTGCCATCTTTCAAGAACTTACTAGTTGGGATTAAGTACGCATAACATTGTCGAGATTTCTTAGGCATCCTCACAGAAGCAGGAGCATCACAGCCCTAGTTTCACACGTCATGACAACTGGGTCTCAGGCTAGAGTTTTTGCTCAGGTGGTGAGCAGAAACAGCAGGACAGAAATTCAGTATCATAGGTTCCTACCACAGGGCCACATGTTTTCCTGAGGTACACTCTAGATAATCATTAACTGTTAAGAATCCTACATTTTTCATACATGTACATTTAAAAAAAGGAATTCTTGGTCATCATATATGAAGCAAGATAAGAGAAAATACACAGAAGCAACTCTTTATAAAAGAGAATTATATAAAACTAGAAAAGAAAAAAGAGAAAGAAAAGAAAACAAAAAGTTAACTTTCTGAGGTATCCATGGCAAAATTCAAGGAATTAATATTAAATTTCAGTGATGAAAAGCAGATAGTACATAAAGGCTCTGTTCAATTCATATTTATGGAGAAGCAGAAAAGTAGACTGATAACTAGACAGGCATCCTATTGCTGGCTGTGTCACCAGCTGTGTGAGAGGGGACAAATTACAAAGACTCTCAAAGCTTCCTATTTCCTCAATTATAAAATCAGGGAGATGAAATTATCCTAACTAAAATACTCTATCTGGGATACTTCTCAATACAGCACTGTTTCCTAAGATTGGTAAAATGAATGAATTTTTTAAAATTAGTCATTTAAAAATGCTTCAATGACAATAAGATTCACTAAGATACCCATTCTGGTTTGACTATTGTCTTCTTTGGAAGTCCTGTAATGTTTACAATGCCTAAGTTTTATTGGTCTTGTTCTCTACTGTTTTGTCCAACTTTATAATATCTAATAAGATAGACAATTCTTTTTAAGGAAACAAGGGACAACGTTGATAACCATTGTTGATAAACTTGTACTCTGTTCTACACCATGTGCTACGTCTATCCTTGGTATTGACTGACAGCTTTGTTTTGCCATATTTGACTGTATTCTTCCCCCCCCCCCAAAGAAAGTAATAAGCACTAAGGAGTAATAAAATCCAAGATGTGTAAATTTTGTTGTAAAAAAGAGAGGGAAAAAAAAAAAAAAAGAAAAGGAGCTCTAACGGATATAACAGCAAGTGTGTTTGGGGGTGTTAAATAGCTGACTTTATCAATGTTTTTGGAACATTGAACACAGCTGTTTGCAGTCTCCCTGTTTGAATGTCCACCTTGTGTTCTTTGATACTGTGATTTGAGGAACTATTTTCAAGAAAATAGTGTGTAATCTACTAGCAGGTAATTTCTTACTGTTATAGTTTTTTGTTTTGTTTTGTTTTGTTTTGTTTTGTAGTTCTGTATTGCGTGTACCCTTACGCCGCTTTGGTTTGTTTTGTGTTTTTCTCTTTTTCCTCTTAAATAAAAAAAAAAAAAAAAAAAAAAAGAAAATTAATTTTGATTAAATAAAAAAATAAAAAATAAAAAAATAAATAAAAATAAAAATGCTTCAATGGCAAACTCATTTTTATAAAAATCATATAAGCAAATATTTGCAGTCACCCAAAATGACAGTATTTATAATTCTGGGTGGTTTTATATTCGTTTTAGCTATAGAACGACATGCCTGTCTTCCTCTTTGTTCATTAAAAGTTAGAAAATCTCAGCATTTCAAAGTAGGAGAGAAGCTCCCTCCTTATCCCCAGGAACCTTAAGCCTTATGAGGACCAGCGCTGAGGCTGCTCCTTTCATGCTCTTCCAATTGGGTGACACTTGACCCATCTATTTACAGCAAGTCCACTAATCTGATTAGGGTCTGAACACCTGGTTGAAGCTGCTTTTGTTTTTGAAATCCTTGACAAAAAATGCTATATGGGTTACAAATTCTTAAGAGTATGTTTTTACCAGCCAGGAGAGTTATGCTTCCCCAAAGCTGAAACTTAATAAAGAAATAGGAAGTGAGAAACAAAAATACAACTTGGAAATGTAGGGAAGACTATTAAACCAAAGGTAATGTGACAGAAGGAAAAATGACTTGAAATCTAAATGCCAGCTTCCAAATTTTTAACCGAATGGCTAGAGCTTGCTCTTACTTTCTCTGCGTTTTGAGGGAGATGGGATGGAGTCAAAGTAGAGAAAACTTTTAAAAATCCCAGGACACTAACCAAAAAAGTTATCATCTTATAAAAAATACCATTGATTTCCTTCACCAGTGGTTTTACTTGATAAAAATTTTGCTGAGTGAAGGGCTTCTGCCCTATATAATCAAGGACACATTTCTCAACTCCATGTTTTTGTTACTGCAGTTGGATTTTAACTTATAATTGATATTCCACATTGAAACAGCAATAAAAGTCTGGAAAATTAAATGCTTACCTTCCCCATCAAATGTTCCTTGTCCTCTCAGCATTTTTTTCTAAGAGACAAGAAAAGCAAAAAGAGGAAAAACCAAAAGCAAACTATGTGTGAATGAGCCAAACAGAAAATACAGCTATAATAAGCAAAAGTACTTTTTTGTTGTGACATTCATTGGATTTCCAAAAGCACACAGTACATGATTCCTAGAGCAGTGCAATCATCTAACCAGTATAACTCACTGAAACTGAAGTGAAATGTACAATGTTCCCCACACAGCCATCAAAACAGAATTCTCAGATGACCACCAGTTGAGCTCATTTCATGACTTACAATTCATCATCACTGTTAAATTGAACTTTGCTATACTCGCAGAGTTGAAAAAAAAAACAAAACACTTAAGTTATTATGTAATATCTTTTCTTGAAGACCATAGGCTCTAAAATAAAACAAGTTTGTGTATTACATATGTGACATTTATATACACTGGTTCCAGTTCTCTGATTAATCAAGAAAAAATGTGACTGCTAAAGGAATCATTGCCCTGTTGCTCAGATCTGCCTTGTTTCTGGGGAAGAAGTCAGCGCATACTTTAAAGTATCCCTTTCCAGCATTCCCCATTTTTTTATGTATTGACACCGTTTTAGCAGGTGCAGTTCTGAGGCCTTTTGTGAGCAAACAATACTATCCTAAGCTACAATTTTGTGTTACTAATCTGTTAAATACATAAAATGGGAATAAAATACAATCAAAGGCCATGATGACAAAAACAAGCCAAAAAAACTTACATTAATCTGTGTCTTTTATGATTCTGGCGACTGCTTTTAAAATTTACATTTTACCTGAATGACATCAAATGTGTGGTCACCATTCAAAAAAAATAACTAATAATTAAAAGAATCAAACAGGAAGCGGTATTTTTCTGTATCAGCTGTGATAAAGCTACCAGTGACACTTCTAAATAAACACCTGCGACCTTGCCAATAGTGGAGTGCAGATCTAAGCATGCTCCCCACCTCCTCTGAGCTAGCTCTCTGTATTAAAAGTGCCCAGGACTTTTCAGCCAATACTTAATTTGCAAAACATTTTTTCCCTTTGTACTCCAGCAGATTTTGCCAGAGCTTTTGAAGTTTAAAGTGACAGCAGTTTCACTTCCATTCCTAACGCTGCACTACACTCATTGACACCTGCCAGCCACAGAATGGCCAAGCACATTGTGCCCAGGTATGACAGTAGAAATAAGTAAAAGTGAGTAACTGTGGTTTTGTCTATATGGCTCCTCCCCTCGCCCAACATATTCATTCACTTTTGGCTTAATGAATGAGCGACTCTAGCCCACTCTTACCTTTATTCTTCCCAAGCTAGAAAACTTTTCCTTGTCTTCCATCACGGCTTTCAGGACCGGCTGGGACATCCTGTTCTTCTGCTTTGAGCTGTTCGGGCTGTCAAAATCAAAGCCACTGACGACGGCCCTGCGGTAGGATGTGGACCGCAAGCCTCGCCGCAGAGACCCGGGGCTATCCACGTCATTGTCGACGTCCCTTTCTTCCCCTGCCTGACCTAGGGGTGCTCCGAAGCCCTCCACCATGCTGCGCACCTTGAGGAGTCTCTTGTGGGGTTCCACATTCTGACTGTTCGATTTACTTAGTTTAATTTCTGAAGCTAAACTCTTCGGAATGATCTGCTGTTTCCCCACTTTGAGGGCAGCAGGGCTGTTTGTACTCAAAACCACAGAAGGGTTTTCAGGTAGTTCGTTCTCCTGTGAGGGCAGCCTTTGAAGGGAGAGGTTTTGTTCTGAAGACCTTTTCTGGGGCACATTAGAGAGTCCCAAAGGCCCCTGTTCTGAGTCCTTAGCCGTCTGCGCAAACTGAGAAGGGAAGCCAGAGGAATCGATTTTAGAGGCAAGACCGTTGATAGTGGGTGAAGGCACCCTGTTGGCAGTCACTCCAGTGGGGTCCTCGGGGCTGCAGGGCGCGGGAACTGTAGGAGTCCGCGGGGTGCGCAGTGGTGCCGGCGGGATCACCATGCCACTCGCTGGGGTCTTCGGGGAGCCTCCGGGGACCACCTTGTGGACCTGCGGTGACTTGCACCGTCGGGGTCGAGGAGAAGCAGCTCTGTATTCCGGAGAGATTGTCCGCCCATTGGTCACCGCCCCTCGATGGGTGCAAAGAAGGAGGGGGCTCCTCTGCACCGTCCTGCCGTCCGACGAGGAGGGCAGCTGGGCGGGAGCCTGCACCGCGGGCAGGGTCCCCAGGTCCTCCACCGGGAAATCCGTGATCAGCAACCCGCTGGGGCTCTGGTAGGACTGGGGCCTCGGTTTGCTCCGGGCCAGCAGCTGGGGCTCAGGGGTCGACCGCCTCCGCCATAAAGGGGTTAATCTGTTGCTAGAAAAATCCACTTCGCTCTCGCCGTCCATAGCGGGGCCTCGGGTCAGCCCCTAAGGTTGGACCCCGCTAATCTTGCCTAGAAAGGAAGAAGTTATGGAACCCTTGTCCGAACAACTGCGCACGTCTGGCGGACGCGCTAGCCGCGAACACCGCGATGCCCCGGCTGTTGCGCGGGACGCCACCGAGCGCCGCTTACCCGCCCTTTCCAGGGCGAGAAACTGCGCCTCGCGCGGCGCGGGAGCCAGGCAGAAATCTGGGCTTCTTCCCAAGCAAATTAATCCAACCACTTTAGCGTCGCTCCCGCTCCGCCACCCGCACAGAATGAGCCCACCACCGACTGGCTGTGTTCAAGCCGAGGCACAGGAAACTTGGGACGAGTTCAGCTTTCTCGGGAAACTCGCCGCGGGACGCCTCCTTCCGCCGCCATCCAGCCGGCCGCCCCTGTCAGGGGTCCCCCGGCGCTCCAGCGGTTCGGCTTGCAGGCAGATTCACCTTCGGGGCCCGGGGCCTAGGAGCGCCCAACGCCCCGTGGGTGGCCAGGGTCTGGGATCCACGCGCCGCTGCTACAGCGCCGGAGAATGTTGCAGCCGCCCGCGGTGCCGGCTCCGCCCCTGCGTTGGCCCCGCCCCGCGTTGGCCCCGCCCCTTCTCGGCCTGGCGCGCCCTCCCCGGGTGGCTGCGCACCGGGAGCCCTGGTCTTTCCGTGCCTCGTGTGCCTTAGTGTGACGCAGGCGCGCCCACCTGAGCTGGTGCTAAGCCTGTGGAGAGCTGGGGCTGGCGGCTGCAGAACTTGCGAGAGGGTGGGGTCGTGATCCGCAGCACGGTGTGGCAGGGAGTCCTACAGAGATGCAGCTCTGGAGCCCCGAGTCCTCCTGTCGCCTCCTGAGCTGAAGGTACAGTAGTCTGTGAAATGCTGGAGCCGGGGCCTCGCTGTTCTGCCGACTTAAAACACATATCTTACACACTCACTCCGCCGTTTAAAATTCATTATATTACAAATAAATTTGTTTGTTTGCTACTGGAATATTTCCGGAGGGAGAAACACTGGCAGCCAAGGGGAAAAGAGCTGGTGGTCAGGAAATGGGAGGAGGGAGAATTGCCCTGAGTGATTTTTGGATCTTGCATGTTTTAAACCTTGAGTATTACATAGACTAAGGCAGTAGTGCATTAAATAAAATGCAAAATCTTTTGCGTAGGTTGTGTGACCTGTTCAGCCTGGCCTGGCCATTTCCTGTCGCCCTCACTGCCCACACTCATTTGGCGGCTTCTGAATCTTCACTTAGATCCCTTCTTGACTTCCTGACTTGCCACTTGTCATAGGCCTTCCTGACCCCACCTGAATTAGACTTTTGCCTCTGTATTTTTTTCAGTCACCTGCCTTTTCCACACTTATTAAAATTTTAAATGTGTAAGTGCATATGTATTTATGTGATTATGTTCATTCCGTCTTTCCACTGTAAGCTGCAAGAGGGCAAAGGTCATATTTGTTTTCCCTGTGTATCCCGGGAACATAGTGGACACCTAATAGATATTTGATGAATAAGCAAGTAAGTGGATAAATAAGAGGAATCCAGTGAAGACAGTGACCATTTCTTCCCTTAGTGCTCCTGTTGCCACAGAGTAGAAAGTTGTTGCTCTCACCAAACTCCTGCTGTGTGAGAATTACAAGGCAAACTTGAAATAAGGATTTAAAACATTGCATCTGTAAAACTAGTGGTATTAACAAGACATAGGATCCTTCTCCAGGTTCACTGTAGCATTCCCCACTGAGCAGGGATGTAGTGAGCATCCTTCACGCAAGTTTTACGCTGGCTTTTCCCTAGATACATTGCATGCAATGGCTCAACTGGTTTTTCCCTAGATACATTGCATGCAATGGCTCAAAATATATAGAAGCAATTTCTGCATGTTGAAATAAAGGATGATGTGTTTCATCTTTTATCCATAGTTACCAAGTTTGTACAATGAAGACATAACGGCTTTAATCTGAGATAGTTTTGTATGCTAGAAAAAGAAATGACATCAATACATTTTCAGAAAAAGTTTCTTAAAACTGACTTGGAAGAATATGACTCACTACAAATTCATACCTGAATTTTTAAAATATAGGGCATTTTCTCAATCAACATGTTACTTTTGCATTGAAAGAAGTGTAACTTAAAAGTGCTTAGCTAATGACATATGCAATATTTACCTAAATTAGAATGTAATATGTGACTTAAGTTTTAAAAAGGCAAAAGATTTACATGATGAAGAGAAACCACAGAATATTGTGACCTGAGTTTTAAGCTCATATGATATGATACAAGAAGCCGGCTTCTCTTTAAATTACGTTGTTTTTGTAAACAAGTATAATTTATATTTGTGAAGAAATCACAGGATCTGCTTACTTCATTACCAAAACGGCCAGTGAAACACCTTCCACTGCTAAGTTTGGAGACACACAGACCTAGTGCCTATGTTTTAGTTTTTATTCATCTTTTTCATATATTTTCAAGTATCAGACATGTCCAATTATATGTAAAGCCAAAAAAAGGAAAGAACTGCTAGTTAAACTATGACACCTGTGATATCACGTAGTTGTATTTTATATTTGATTAAAAAGTGCTTTTGGATTTGAACATTTTAGTGATATGTAGATATAAAAAATTAAAATGTCAGCAGGATAAATTGATGAAAGTTTTGTATGTTGAACCTATTTCTGCAGAGCCTCATTTTTCATAACAAGCCTTCATATGTGTGTTTTTCCACACAATATTGTTGATAATACAGCTTACCTTAAGGGATATTCTAGTCTTGTTGAGATTTTCTTCTCAACTATTGACAATGATTCTGCAGATTTGATGCTGTCACTATCTTACTTGACTAAAACATAATTTTCTTGTTCAACTGAATTATATGTTGACACAAGCTATGCAGCTTCTTTATGAGTAGAAAGAAATTTCTGAAAAATTGTAGTGCCATGTTTTACCTCTAAGTCCTATGTGACACACCAACTGGTTATTTTATTGCTCTGTTGACTCTTACTGCTTTGGAATTTCTTTCTCCTAACTTGACATGTCAATTTGTCTTGTTTTTAATTGAATTTGTTAGTAATTATCTCGAATATAACAGAAGCAATGGCAGTTTTGCTATTGCCATGATCACAAATACTAAGGCAGTGCCAACAGTATCATTGTCACTTGGCCAGTGGCTATTTATTTGATGCTAAGACACATCCTAGTTTGAGAGAATTTAAAATATGAGACTAAATGCTTCTTAAAATTGGAGAATGGGGGGCTGGGGATTTAGCTCAGCGGCATAAGCGCCTGCCTTGCAAGCAGGCAGTCGTGAGTTTGATCCCTGGTACCGATAAAAAAACGAAAAAGACCAAAAAAAAAAAAAATTGGAGAATGGAAATTAGGAATGATATATTCCATTATATTTCAATGGTATATTGAATTATTAAAATATTCAGTGGTATAATACAAGATATAATGCTATATTTACTAAGTCAATTTTGTCTTTAAGTGCAATTTATTAATGTCTTTTTTTTTCTTTTCTGTTATATCCCATGCACCTGTTAGTTATCTATTTATATCATCCATGAATACTCTTTGATGTATTTAAATGTGAAGCAGTGGGCCAGACCTTCCTGAAGATTATATCTTGGTTCTTTAAACATTCCTGAAACTATTATGTTTTGACCCTCAAACTGCATAAGAGGTATGGGTAAGCTCCTTATTTTATGGAGGCTCTTATGAAGCAGATAAAACTGAGCAAGAATATGCCAAGCTGGGAAGTAAGAGTATCCCAAAGAAATGTCTCAGCATGACCAAAAACCTAGGGAAATGAGAACCAAGATGTATTAACTGCTCACTATATGTTAAAAACTCTTTTTTTTTTTTTTTTTTTTTCTGGTACCAGGGATCAAACTCATGACCTCTCACTTGCTAGGCAGGCACTGAGCTATATCCCAGACTACATGTTAAACACTCTTTTTCACTACACAATTTGACTTTGTGTAAGTCCTTACCTTAAATACGAAGAAGTAAAGTTTCAAAAATTGCTTTTCATACTGTTGGAAAATGATTGACTCTGAATTCTAACTTGATTCTCTGTCATACTCCGGAGCCCATCACTGAAAAATATTCAAGACTATCTTTACCAGAGCAGAGAGTTTACATTTAGGAAATGTGGGTGGTAATTGTGGTTAGATATGATGAGAATAGAAGGTGATATACCACACAGATGGAAGAGTCTGGATTTTACCTGGATAGTATCTGACAGTTCCTGAAATAAAAAAGTCAAAGACTGACAAATTTGACGGTGTAACCAGCCTGAACTATATAGTGAGACCTTATCTCAAAAAGAGAAATAAATAAATAAGTAAAATTAAATAACATGCGATGCATGTTTTTATTTCACATTCAAATCAGTTAGAAAAAGCTAATAATGGAAAAATAAGTAGATTGAGAAAAAATGTTTTAGTGAAGCCATTAGTGCCCACTCATCAAGATATTTGGATATTAAAGTGTATTTAATATTGGTAATAAACACAAAATTTAAAAAGTAGTAAAGTGATAGTTTTTTCATCCATTAGATTGGCAAAGATTTAAATAAAGTAATATCCACTCTTAGTAAAAGTGCAGGTAAAAGAAAATTCTGAGTAATTTATTGTGAGAATGTAAACTTGTACAGTTTTCTGGAGAGAAATTAGATAACAACCAAAAGCTTGAAAACAAGATACTCTTCAGCCTAGCAATTTCATGCCTAAAATTTAATCCCGAGGAAATAATCTTTGATGTATACAAAAATGTACGTTCACGGATCTTCATCAGACCATTTCTTATGGTGGCAAAAACTTATTCTGTCTATCGTAGTGCTTAATAAACTATGCTGTACAGTGTACCCATGAAAAATAATAGTGTAGATAGATAACCATTCCTATAAATCCAAAATATGTTCTCATATGGTGAAAAAGCTGTCGTTAAATCCCTTATATAGAATGTCCTACTTTGAGGTTCACAAACGACAGTAACTTTGTGGAT